CCCAATGTCCCCATACAGACCCCAAAGTCCCCATACAGACCCCAATGTCCCCATAGAGACTCCATTGTCCCCATAGAGACTCCAATGTGACCCCAAAACCCCAAAGATACCCCATTGTCCCCATAGAGAACCCCATTGTCCCCATAGAGACCCCAATGTGACCCCAAAACCCCAAGGAGACCCCATTGTCCCCATAGAGAACCCCATTGTCCCCATACAGACCCCAGTGTGACCCCAAAACCCCAAGGAGACCCCATTGCCCCCATAGAGACCCCAAAGTCCCATAGGGACCCCATTGTCCCAATAGAGAACCCCATTGTCCCCATACCGACCCCAAAGTGCCACAGAGACCCCAAATTCCCCATAGAGACCCCAATGTGACCCCGATGTCCCCAGGATGTCCTTAGGGTCCCCATTGCCTTCAATGTCCCCCCATGTTCCTCAGTGTCCCCAATACCCCCAAATGTCCCCATTGTCCCCAGTGTCCCCACTGACCTCAAAGCCTTCAATGCCCCCAGTGACCCCGGTGTCCCCAATGACCCCAATGCTCCCAGTACCCCCAACGTCCCCCAGTGCCCTCCGATGTCCCCAGTGTCCCCACTGTCCCCAATGTCCCCGCTGACCCCAGTGTCTCCATTGTCCCCATTGTCCCCACTGTCCCCATTGTCCCCGCTGACCCCAGTGTCCCCATTGTCCCCAATGTCTCCATTGCCCCCAATGTCTCCAGTGTCCTCCACTGTCCCCATTGTCCCCGCTGACCCCAGTGTCCCCAATGCCCCCAATGTCTCCAGTGTCCTCCACTGTCCCCATTGTCCCCATTGTCCCCAACGCCCCCAACGTCCCCCCGCTCATCTCCCCCATTGCAGTTTGCCATCGGTTCCCTGATGGACGATTACCTCGGTGAGTGCAGAGCGGCCACGTGGTGCTGTGGGTCCCATTGTCCCCCAGTGTCCCCCGGTGCCACCACCCCGTGTCCCCCCCAGGTCTCGTCAGCTGAGCGCCGTGGGACGAGCGGAGAGACGGGATGGAGGACAAGGCTGGCTGTGGGGCTCGGTTTTGGCGTGTGTCCCCCCCCCCGGTCCCAATAAAAACGCCTTTTTTTGTCACTTTACGACTTTTTGTCACTTGGGGACGCGCGACACGCGTGACAATCGTTCGGTGGGCCCCACCTCCTCCCATCGCCGCTTTAAGGCGACGCCCGGCCGCTTGAAGAGGGAGGCTCCCGCGCGCATGCGCAGCGCGCAGGGTGGTGCCCCGCAGCGCGCTTTACGGCCTCGGCGCGCTTTACGGCCTCGGGCTTCGGCGCATTTCGCGTTTTCGGGGCGCTTTACGGCGTCAGGATGCGCTTTACGACCGCCGCGCTTTCCGGCTTGGAATCACTTTCCGGCAGCGCCGCTCCGACTCGCTCTCTCTCTCCACTGCGCTCTTCAAGATGGCGGTGTCCGGGGTGAGTGCGGCGCGCCTCGCGCAATCCGCCGCCATCCTCCGCTCCGAGCCGACCGGAGGGGACGGGACCGGCGCGGGGCGGAGGGCGGGGGTCTCCCGATGGGGCCGGGGGCGATCGGGGCGGCGGAGGGGCGCGGGGAGAGCGGCGACGGCGG